GTGTGTGTGTGTGTGTGTGTGTGTGTGTGTGTGTGTGTGTGTGTGTGAGAGAGAGAGAGAGAGAGCACAGCATGTCCTCTGAGGGTCATCTCCAGACCGCCAACATGTGTCTGGGACCTCTTCCCAGCTGTCTGTCCTGTGCCCTAGGCTAGACTCCTTTGGTGTGCTGTGCAGCCTGTAAGTCGTAAGTGTGACGAGATGGAGTATGCCAGCGAGGCATCACAGCACAAACCCTCCTAAGACCTCACTATGTCGCCACACAGCTGAAGGCCAAAGATGTGGGTCCTCAATCCAAGGGAAACTGCAGGATATCTTTGAAACACAAATGAACAGGGATATGGGCTGATAACTGGCCCTCGACCACAGACAAGTTCCCACCTACCCCAAGGAAATTTGAAAAAACAGTCTGTCAAAAGGCAAATGCTGTCTAAAGCCTGTAGAGAGGCAAAAAGAGGGTATTACAGACGCGTGATCAGACGTATTTGGTTGCTCTTTGGGCATACCAACGAAGAGTGTTAGGCTATCGTGTTTCGCTTTTAGCTTTGACGTTTGTGTCAGTGCCTTCTGTTCTGTTTTTCGGTGGTCCCTTCACTTTTCTGACTATTGCCATTGATGATTGATCCTTATTAATTGCTAAACCCACAGCAAACACAGTCAATGGCAACAGTTAGTTTTTCGGTCGTCTTCCGTCCGTGTCAACCCCTCTCTCATTTCCTTGTTGCAATTTCTTCCACTTGTTTTTGTTCTTTTCATATCTGTTCAACTTCCTCTTCATTGCACATCGAGAGAATGATATGCTGCATGCGGCAAGTTCGTGGTTTTATTAATACGTGGGCTCTGTCTTCGACAGTGTTTTGTCAATCACATAGTTTCATTTCAACTCGGTCCTTTCAGCTTGTTCTTTATGTCAACGTTAGTCAGTCAAAACACATAGCTTGAAGTTGGACTCAGTCCTTACGACTCTATAGAGTTTATTAGACTTTGAAGTTTAAACTTTAAACTTAGCACTTCATAGTCTTCAGAGTTTGGACTCAGTCTTAATATTTCTTACCCTTGTGAAGGCAAGCAGTGGAGTTGCCTTCGGCTCTTCACAGGTCGAGCTTCGCACTTCACAGTCTACAGACCTTATTTCCAGTTTGACTCTTTATAAAGTTTATATGGAAAAACATTCCAAAAGCGATATGAACGGGTGGTCATAGGCTTGTTCTGTGTCTTCGGAGTATATTTTTTTTGGTTGAATTCGTTATATCTAGGCTACCAGAGTGGGCCAGGGGACCACTTGGCCCGTCGGGCCAGGCCCCAAAACAAAGAAAACAAGTGTATTTTAAATTTTAAATTTTAGTTTTAAATCTGAGTGAGGATGCCGCCCGGCCGGGCCTGCCGTTGGGCTGGGCCCGGGGGGCCCGCCCGGGTAAACCGGGCAGGACAAAAAACCGCCCAGAAGTGTTTTTTTTTTTTTTTTTGAAACCGGGGTCGTTCTGCCTCTGCGAGAGGACCCCGAATCTGCAATAAAATTTTGGTTTTGGTG